TTGTTCCCTTGTGATTCTTCAGCATTTTACATTAGCTGTAGCACGCAAGTACAATATATATTGGTGCATTAACCTCTTTTGATCCCATAATGGGATTCCCATTGCTACCATACGCAAAATCACCAAGTGTTGGATTGACTATGAGAGCGACCAGGAACAACAATCAGAACAATCGTTCATCGGGCGCGTCACGGACTCAACTTGCACACTCAATCGGCCCTTGGCAATTTCTCAGCACCTCTTATTATAATCAGCATATGATTGACACAACACAAGCCACACGAGAAGCAGCACCAACTTAGTGTTCACCATTCGACTCCAGTACTCCTCTATGAGAAGAGCTCCATGGCAGCGGTCATATAAGATACCTTATGAGGGTGACGGTACCTCAAGTAATGGACGTAAACAAAATGCATGTGAGGTGATCCTCTAATACCAAATCTATCACTTCTGCGGCTCGTGCTGCTGTTGATACTATCCCCATCCCCTCGTCACGACATGTATCATCAGATAATGAACATCCCCTTGTAAAAGCATATAGCATATGGGAGGCTATATGGGGCACATCCATGGGAACCTACAGTAGAGTTTCACCACCCGTTTAACGTGAAGTGTCGCAAAACTCGGTGAAAAATGCGGTATTCGCGGTATGCAGTAGTCGTAGTATGTTTTTCACTACTGTTTTCCATATCACGAGTGGAACTCCAATGACTATCATAGGTCTTCGCTCAAGCCCTTACCAGATGCCCGGCCTGATTGATAACTATGTGAGTGAGAGCACCGACTTCGACAAAGCCGCCCACCTGAGCGACCATAGCACTCAAACAAACAGGATGGAGTTCTCTTACAGTTTCCTCCACCACCTTCTCCGTAATCCCACCATTCGCACTAGTCGCTGATTGGTCTGTGGTCTTCAACTCTTTACGTTTGATCGACCACGGTTTACGCTTTGTCTGCTTAAACTGCTCTATGAGGTCCCAATCCATATTGACTAATAAGAGCAGTGAGATGATACCCAAACTGTATCAACTCACGCATCCATCTGGCCGTGCCTATCATGTTGCAATCCATATCATACATCCCATTATAAAGGAGTGTTCGAGTGTTGTTCCTCAACAACTGAGTATACAAATGTGCCGCTGATCGCTGTTCCCAGCCGGCTAGGATGTATCTACACCCGAGCATCTATTGCCGCATTGTATTAACAACAACTCAGCTACGCTATTGCAGCGTTGTCCTCAGACCAAGGCGCTGCTCTTGGATCTACATTCATCGCTGCACGGACTTCAGCCTTTCGAAGGTACCTAGCCATGTCCTCGCCATGCTGATCGAACTATTGACCAATGCGAAGCCAATCGAGAAATGTATCCTTATCATTATCATCATAGGCCGCGATCCCACGTAACGAGTCATCATCTCACTCTAGTCTCATGAACAGTCCTATTGTGCCTTTCCATATAGCCATAAACTCCCTCGAATTGGATAGGGATCGACCGACAACGTGTTACAAGGGCCCAATTATCATCAAAGGTGACCTCTACCCAACTCACTCAGTGAGGACAGCATTATTATACTCGCCATACATACGTACATCGTACCTAGCCATGACATTCAAAGTGGGTAAGGGAAGCTCACGGTTTACATGTTAACTTGACTATTATTCACAATGTAATCTTCTATTCTAGAGCACACGTCATTAGCCTGTCGCCATGCCTCCACGCTGAGTGAGCCCGAGAACTATCACGTGTCCGAGCAACAACACCATGTGGGTACGTATTAGTCCCTTCGAGTGCCTTTAGACATGCTTCTTCGAGTTTCTCGACTTCAGCATTATCAGGAGCATTGATCAATCCGTGTTGGAATCTGTGTGGGAAATTCGACTATCTAACGAGGAGCTTATTACGCGAATTCCTTGTAGGTCATCTGCTGTGTTGGAGGGTCTACCCAACCGTCGCCAACACCAACACCTTGCAGATTGACCCAGGAATGACGTTCTTGCAAATCAACAGCAAGCTCTGGTACGTATCTGCAAGTATTGTGTGAATAGAGCAAATTATGGTATCATAGGCTCAGTGGCTCCACTGACATCTATCAATACAGTGTAGCTAGTCTGCTTAAGCTGTACTAAAACGGTAGTACCGGACTTATACGTAACCTTAAGCTTGCAGACAGATAGAAGCCAATCCCCCACATCCGAGTAGTACTTTCCTCCGTAAGACTCTCCGAAAACATAAAAAGGGAGTTTTGCCAAGTTGGGAAAATAAGTTCCTAATAGCAGACTCACCTGACTTGGGACGATTCTATAGGAACAAGCAGCAACATGCCCTACCGAATCTCCCAGATTTCTGATGGCTTCGTCCTCACTCTCCGGCAGGCATTTATCATCAGTGACGAAGCTCATACCAACGGGTGCAGGTTGATCTACTACTATATATCTAATAATAAAGAGCTCCCTTTGATGAGGGCAACAAGCACTATTGATATCACGTCGCGTTGTTATGCCAAGATTGACTGTTGTCAACTAGCTTCGCTTCAGTCTGTATTGCTTTGACCGGACCGTTTTCGAGGAAGAATCCAACGAGCCCGGACGTACCAGGACCACCCTGAGCGACGAAGCAGTTTCTCCACGATGAGTTCACACAGAGTTTTAACCACTAGTTTTCGCGACATGAAGGATGTTATAGAGTCCGGAGAGCCTATATACAAAATTTCAGAGGTTGTGTCGGTGACATAAAACAAACTCTCTAGAGTGCGCGTACTGTACCTGCAGCCAGAGAACTACGGGGTCCTTATCTGGATCACCAGCACTTGGTACTAAAATGAAGTACATGGCCGTTACACCTAAAAGTTGCTATGATTAACGCTTGCAAGGGCTTCGCTATTTTACATTGTTGAGGCTTTTTGTAGAGTGGGAGATAACCTGCATTAGTTCCTCTGGGTAAGGGGTGGTCGTATCTGAGTATTGGTTTCACCGTGCTCGGATAGTGATGCCATGCATACCCCGGAAGATAGGTGATAGGACCGAATCCTGGAAATGATGATGCATTGGCAATTTGGTGACGTAAATTAGACAGAGGGACTCTTCCATTGACAAGAATTGGGCAAAGGGCGGCCGTCAGGAGTAAAATTGGGAGTAGGGTCAGAAACGACGACCGCCGCCGATGCCTTTGGAAGGACGATAACATAACAACAGAGAGCAGTGACTAAATCAATTACTGACGGACAATACGTATAAAAGGGCTTTCATAGCGATATGAGCGTTTCACGATGAAGCCTGAGTAGCAAAAACGGCCTTTGGGAGGCGCAGTTTGCATTCAATCAGGTCAACTCTTCCACTGAGGAGGAGGGTATTGAACTCCAAAAATGCAGCACAGAATTGCCTAGGGCTGATCTGAAATTCATAGGGCTTCCGATTAGTCCAACAAGTTTCGGAATTCATTTCGAATCTGGTTCCGATAAAATCCAAAAAAACCAAAACCAATGAACGCAGTTTGAGAACCAATTCTGACGTTAACTATCAAACGATCGTGGATACCGTAAAAGACTCAACTCAAGACTTGCACAAAATCTTGCTTACTATGTTCATCTTGAAATTTTGTTATTCAAGTGTCTGCGTTCACTGCACGCAGTTTCCCGTCACATTCTTCAGGGTGTTGGGTATTACCTCTATCATGGCCGCCACAGCTCCTTCTCAAGCTTGCTTCATTTGTAACGAGACTGGGCACTATGCTAGGAATTGTCCACGACAATTTGATGATGACTCGGTAGGCTATCTCATAAAGTGATGTTTGGCAGTACTTCTTGCTCTCCAGCGAGCGCGTCGTCGCCCACAGAACTGCTATAACTGTGGTCAACCTGATCATCTCGCCCGAGATTGTCCCAAGGACCAAAGCAATGACAGGCCGTGCTTCAAGTGTCAACAAGTAGGGCACTTCGCAAGGTAGGCAACTACTTGCACTACTGGTCTCTCTGAGGATCCTTTTTTATGCAGGGATTGCCCATCAGCTGACACGAGGAACTGCTTTCGTTGTGGCCAGTCTGGTCATCTGGCACGTGAGTGTCCTAACGAGGAAAACAATCAAGATAACAACAACAACAATCGTAAGAGCATTATTTCTGTTCTTGACGAATCTTTCTGAGTGTATATTCTTGTCAGGTGGTGGTGGTGGAGGAAGGAACTGTTTCCACTGTGGTAAGCCCGGACACCTGGCACGTAACTGCAGGAATAGTTGAGTTGATGCCGAGGATGTTGGTCGTGTCTCCGCATATATTAGTTTCATGTTAGAAACGTCATTTTGTGTTACTATGGGGAGTTTGAAGACGAATTCGACGGTATTGTCGATTATCATATTACTACTCGGTGAGAATTCTGCGGAGAACATCACTCTGGCGCCGCGGTAAAAGTCACCATCTAAGAGAGAAACACTTCGAACGATCGCGAAACCAACGCTCATGGGATCTATAACAACCCATAGTCGTGTTGGTTGAGATAAGAGTGTCTGACGCTCAGTGATAGGTTGGAGTAATCATGTATTGCCACTTGCCGTTGTGTATATTCAATATACCTTGGTGATTGGTGTGATAGAATACGACGTCCTGTTCACTACAAGTATCAATATTCGAAAGAGCCATTAATTCGATTGTTACCAAAACTTCCATGCAGAACCGTATCGGATTGATCGGACTATTATTAGTGAGGAGTCCTCACTGAGGAGGTAGCTATGTATACCAGATCACATCATACACTATATATAGATCTCGCAGCTATATGTGCAAGTGGCGACGACGCCGTGCCTACGCGGCATATATTCCGGAGAGGCGCAGGTTCGATCCTCGCAAAAGACGTTTTTCGAGTAAATTTTTATACGCGACGGAGACCGTTAGACGACGGTGAAACTGATTATGTTCTGAGAGGAAACGCAAGTAGCATCACAAACTCACCGAGGAGCGACTCGTCATCACCACCCCTGGTGACTCCGTCCCCGCTCACCCTTCCTCTCACATGTGTGAATATGATTAATCTGACATTGATGTAGCCACTAAACGTCATTACCCCATGGGCATCTAAACACTCATGAACAACTATAGGGTAACGGTTGTGTTAAATTATGGTAATGCATCATACTCTACAGTGAATGCATTTAGTAGCCCCTTTCCATGTCTCCTAGGCACCAAGGGCGTTGGCACGCCCTGGTTCCTGCTCCTCGTCGTCGTCATAGGCTGTTGTTGCCACTACTACTACTGCTCTTCTACTCGCTGGCTTCCAAATGGTCCCTGGTAGAAGCTGCCACTCTAGACAACGAAATGGGGGAGACTGAACTATTTGATGATTATGATGCTGATGGTTTTGGTGGCTACTGCGAAGCCCAAGGCTTATTAACGGCTGGTGATGGAACTTGCAAAGATCCTGATATTGTTACTGTCGTCCACGATCGGGACTCTAGCTCCTCTCCATCATCATCGCAGTCAGGAACGTCGTCATTGCCCAATCCCATCGAGTCTCAAGAGATGATGGACCTCTTCAAAGACACCACAGACTTCGTAGTGTCACTAGTTGATGGTCGCCTTATTGCATACGACGGTTGTGGGACTAAGCTATGGACGTATCAGGCCAACTCTCCTACAGTTGACGCTCGTTTCAACGAGACTGTGGCGAAGGAGCTTGGCATCGGTGATCTGGCATCACACTTTGCTGGAGATGACCCTACTCAAACGCCCAGGATTGTCCCAGCTCTCGATGGTACTGTTTACATAGTGACACCGAACCCCAAGTCCCCCTCGCAAAGGGTCTTCACTCACTTACCGACTCTATTGGAAGATATGGTCGGCGTAGCGCCTTTCTACAGCCCAGCATTTCCGGGTATGTACGTTACGGGCAGTAAACTGCAGGGAGGTGTCACTATCGATTTCTCGTCATCAAGAGTAAAGTGGCATCTTCCCGGTGGCCGCTCTACTGGACGCTATAGCAAGGAGGATAAGCTAGTCTTTGCTCGACAGGAATGGGCACTGCACTCCTTAGCTGCTGAGGACTCGGATGAAGTCTGGCGAGCTAGCTATGTTGAGTTCCCACCAGTGACACATGAACATCTCTTCCCGGGTACTGAGGTCAATGCCCGTGCTCGAGCCCTGACTAGTGTTCTTGGTATACTGGACAACCAGACTAGTGTCTATAAGAAAATATTCGATAAAAATCGATGTCCTCCTATGCAAGGGCATGGACGGTCTGCCCAAGTCGAGAAGCCCATGATAACTTTAGTATTCGACTCACCAGTGGTTTCTGTATTCGCCGTGGTAAGCCCTCAGGATACTCCAGCTAAGCTGGCCATGGTCCCAGTGGCACATGCTGGTCCTTGGTGTCACGAGGTAATAAGAGGTAGAAGGAGGATAGTCAGGTTGAGTCACTGTGGTGCTCCCTTTCAGTTCCCTGGGTATGACAAGTTACCAGTGCCTTCCTATGTGAACATGCCCCATGCATACGATGGCCGACCGCAGTTGTATCCCCCGTTCACTTACGATGATAGGAGCTCTATGAGGGCATCGACTATGGATGAGGAGCCCTACCATATGTATAAGGACCGACGGCGAAGTCCAGAGCCATTGCAGTTAGCATTGGAAGGTGGGGTCACGCTAGACGAGATGGCATCGATTTTTATCAAGTTGAATGGACCTAATAAGCTGTTCTTTGGTGGTCTGGGTGGTGATGATGGTGGTCCGGGTAGAGGGGGTCGGGGTCCTCGAGCGCCACCTGGTCCTGGCCTTGGACGCCTACCGGATGGAGACGGTTACCATGATGCTGGTAAGATACGACCCCTCAGTTTGCCAGGCCCTGGAGGTACTGTGGCAACCGCCGACCCCGCGAAAGTCCATTACCTGAACGATGTGGCTCGGAATACTTCCCTTAGGGAGTTTCTGGCTGTGAAGTACCAACATAATTACATAGTATTGGTCTTCTTACTAGGCCTCATGGGACTAGGGGCTGTAGTGTATCGGTTTATCGCAGGATGGGTACAGGTCTTCAAGGTCGTGGCGCCGGATGGGGAGAACATGTCGCCGGGGTCGGGCGTAGATGATGATGATAAAATTAGTGAAGAAATGGAAGATGACGATGATGAAGACGACGATATGGAGGGTTCAGAATTACTATCAACAGATTTGGTAGAGCAACCCTACGAGATGGGGAGGTTCTTGGATATACGACAAGACATTATGTATCTACCAGAGTGGCAAGATGTGTTACTGCAGGCTAGTATGAATAAGCGTTTGCAGCAGTTTAACGATCTTACTAGGATAGCATTCAAGCACGGCGAGAGCGATGTTAGGACGGTTCATGGAGGGGTATTGTTCTTGGGTAGAAATGTGGATGACCCTCAGTTTATATTCCGCAATCCTAAGCAAGAGCTCAGCCAGAGACCTAACGTTCCTAAGTTCACTCAAGCGGTTAGAAATGCTGTTGCTAGTAACGCGATGAAGGAGGTGCGGTATCTGAAAGCGTATTGTCCCAAGGCGTGTGTGGCGAGTTGGAACACATTCGAAGGCGTTATACAGGATTTCGTATGCAAGCACCCGACTGCCTCTCAGGTCACCGTTCGGGATATAGACCCTGAAGTGGCTCGAGATGCATCGCTGATTATAATGGCATTGAGAGATACGGACGCTCATGAGGATAATATGATGAGGGATAAACTCGGGAGGATTGCACTTATTCGATCTGGGCTGTGCCTTGGCTGACCGCCCTTTGCCGCGGGACGATATGACTCAGGAGTATCTCGACAACTTTGCTATTTGGCATCAGACTCCACTACTATTGGACGCCCCCTTTACGGCCAAGCATATACGCTACCTCAAGACACTAGACTTTGATAAATTGAAGAAAATTTGGGTGCACTACACATATCCGAAGTATGTTGTGGCAGAGTACGATCGAGCTAGGAAGCGGGAAAGGTTACGAAGGTCTTCACACAGTCATGCTCATCGTCATGCTGCCCAGCATCGCTCTAAGAGCCTGACTAGTCCTGTACGTCAAGTACTGGGATATCTGGTCAGCCCTAAGGCTACTGTGGACTCTCCTGCTGCTGCTGCTAGTGACCACACTCCACTTGGTGACCGTACTGGTCAGCCACCCCTACCTATACAGCTACCGGAGGCAGCGCTGGACGCGACCTACTGCTCACCTGATGCTGAAGAGACCTCCTTCTCATCGCCCTCGGGCTATCGTCGTAGGCGACGGTGTGACAGCTCTGATGTAGCAAGCGACAACCCGACTTCTAGTGGAGAGGAAGCGGATGCCTCTAATGAGGATTCTGTATCGTGTCCTCATCTGAGGGTACGTGCTACTAAGGGAAGGCCTCGGGCTGAGACCGTTGCTGTTGGAAAAGCTGCAGAGGTCGATGAGGAGGGTAAGGGCAAGAGCAATCATGAGATAGTTGTTGACGAGGCAGGAGACTATGATGAACTGAGGCTGGTGCCACCTATTGATATGGTTAATGTGATGGAGGCTAATGTAAGATTCCTTCTGAGGTGTGCGGAGACGGATAAGCCTATGTTGTTCGCGGCTGAGGTAATATTAGGGTATTTGCATGGAGCAGTGTGGGAGAATATGCACATGGTCAGTTACATGTGTTGGTAAAAATGTAAAAATTCCGAGAAAATTTCGGAAATTTCTTATTGGTTTCTGTGAACTTGCGTCCTACTTCCACTCCTCCATTTAGCAAACATATATTCCTCCAACACTAGTAGAATTGTATAAGACTATCGTTTCTCTAGGTGCTGTACAGTGGCCTGTACGAACGAGTGTGGCACGAGTTGCCAGGGGGGCTGCAGGACTTCGAAGCTTTGGGTGATACTCTAGTCGAGATCGCCAGTGTTGAATCAGTGTACGACATTTTCACTGATTGGGATGATAGGCGTACTGGTCGTCGTCATGTTGACATGCTATGGGCTGGTCCCCCTAGACCCTTGTGCCTTAATAAGGCTTCGGATACCACTAGTGATAGCTTCGCCGTTGCCCTCAACAAAGGCTCTATGTCGTGCCGTAGCGGCTCGGTTGTCTCACAGTTCGATGGTGAAATTGAAATGGTTGGTTTTGACGAGTCTAGCACTAGTATGGAGGTTGCTGCTGATGGCAGTTGTAGTAGTGATGACAATAACAAGAAGTCTCAAATGTTGACTAGGAGTAGTGAAGATGATGATGATAGTCGCCAAGGCCCCAACAAAGGGGGTAAGGCAAGAGTGAATCTTAGCATTGGTAGCATCATGTCATTTCGAGGTTGAGTTTCGATCTAATGTATCTTCATATAGATACCAATATCCCCTGTGAAGTTGACGGAAGTCCCTCTGCAGAGTGAGGCCTCGACTATGAACATTTTATACTATTTCTATACACACTATCATATCACCTCTGGCGGGTGTGGCCGATTCGAGACTACTTTTATTCATAGTAGCATTGGACCCCTATCAGTATTGCCACCAAATTCTCCTTTTTGCTGCCCTCTGGTTGCGTTATCATTCGTAAAGTCTACTGTACTCGTACCGAAGTCATACGCCGAAATAAGAGTTCATATCAGCGCACATGGTCAGCTACATGTACTGAGGCAGTAGAAAATTTTTGGGAAATTATCGTTGGGTCCTGTACGCTTGAAATTTGATCTGTATATAAAATCTTAGTAGTCTCGGAAGCTCCTTAGCTCAGCTGAGGGAAGCGAACATATATCCACCAACACTGGTTCATATCTTCATCGCAGTCCCTCAAATACTTCGAACAGTTAGAGCAACGCTCAGACTACTACACATGAGGAGATTAAGGAATCTGGGAAAGACCCAGTTGAAACTAGCCACTTCAAATAACTATTCCTAAATATTTCACTCCTTACGAATTCCTGCCTTGACATATCAATATGAGGAGGGGTCGATACATCCTAATACGATGGTATATACTAATGCATTGTAATACTAATTGTTAGTTCTTAAGAATGCATTCGAATAGGGATTTCTATATGCTATCACCACTAGAATAATTTTTGAGTGGCACTACAGAGATAGAATCTACCAGTAGTACTAGTAGAAGTAGTAGTGGTGGTAGTAGTAGTAATGGTAACTTCGAAATAGACACTTTGAGAAGATCACAAATGGAATAAAGTCAGCAATACGGTTACTTTATTGTATAATACCAAATGAATCCTCGTGTAAGTAACGAACGCAACAAGACCAGTTAATAGTACAACAACTGCACATAGTGCCGAGTTGTGAATACTCCTAAAGATCGAATCACTCATCAACAACAATGATAGCAGTACTGAGGAAATATCAATAGTGTCAACTATTCACCAGTGGCATCAATCTCTAGTGCTCAGAGCTTTACATGGAAAGGACATCGACCTGTATTCTGCTGAGCTCAGGGGTGACATCCAATACACGATCAACCATGTACTTGACGGCGACCTTGGAGTTCTTCGTGTACGCAGCGTGAATGGCGTCAATATCGGCCTGAGTCTGCTTGGCAAGCTCCTCATCCTCACCACCAGAAGTGCTCTGAAGAGCCTGACAACAACAAGGGTTCAAACAATGACTTAGTCGTGTGGTGAAGCCTTACAGCATAGTCACGGTTGAATTTCTCCTCCTCCTTAGCACGGAAAGAGGCGACCTCGTCCTGAGCGGCGCTCTTGGCTTCACGCAGCTTCTTGGTCCTGAAATAGAAATGTGAGAGGAAAATGTTGAGAAATGCTGACCTGTTCTCTCTGGCACGGCTAACGTAAGTGTCAGCCTCCCGCTCGGCCTTCAAGAGCTGCTGAATAAGTTGTTGGGACTGTTGGTTGGCCATGGTAGTGGAAAAGGTTGTTCGTAAAAAAACACAAGTTGAACTGTAAAAAATGAAGCAAGTTAGCACACATAAATATGTGCTCCATAAAGGTAAGTTAAAACCATGAACATACCAATACAAGGGAAGGAGAAATACATAGTAACCGCTACAGGGCACAAGTCGGGCCTGGCTGCGTCGATGTCTTAGGCCGCAGCTTAACGCTACACTTGCTATCTTGATACTACTTGTGGCTCCTCAACTAATTTATTCCTAAGGCCTATTTTACAAGCGTCCTAATGTTAGGATTTAAACCTATTAGACTAAGGGTAAATGACGTTCACGATGTTCCCTTTCCTAGTTGTATAATGTTTTACGTTGTGTTTAATTGCCGTTAGGAATCCTAATATCCTCAGTTAGCACATCCTTACGTTAGGTAAGGACGTCTTTAAGTATAGGATCCTAACGTTAGGTTAGGGAAATCCTGTGAAATAGCCTTAGTTAGGTAAGGACGTCCTAAGGTTAAAATCCTATACGTAAAGACGTCCTAATCTAAGGACGCTTGTGAAATAGGCCCCTCAGTTTAGGTTAGAACTTTAGGATCCTTACCGTTAGGATTTAGGATATTAGGATGCCTTTATCCTCAAAAACAGGCTGTTAGGACGTTCGGCTTTCACAAGCTATATTTTTAGGGTAATTTTCATCCTATACGTAAACTTTACGTATAGGATGAAAATTTACTCGTATTACGTAATTACGTCGTAAAGACGTCCTAATCTAAGGACACTTGTGAAATAGGCCCCTTATCTCAGACTGACCAAGCTGATGCTGTAGTCATTTATAATGACTTCCTTCAAGAGAGCTGCTCGTGTAACTCAACAGACTGCTTCCAATAAGGGAGACACTTGATTTGATAGTTCTAAGACCCGCGATGTTCGTGGTTTGAAATGTTAATAGCAGCTAAGGCGATAGCAGGTGCTGTTAGGACTAGGGGTATAAATCTATGATAATAAAGAGTACCCGAGCACGTCTTGAAGAGATAGTTTTTGAATAATCTTCATTCATATTTCCGCGTAGTGCACTAGTAAGCATCGATAACCATTGGAGTTTCACCCGCGATATGAAAATATTTCACAACTACTGCATACCGCGTTTTTCACAGAGTTTTACGCCACTTCACGTTAAACGGGTGAAACTCCATTGATTAGAAGCTTAATCGTTGATAATAAGAATCGGTAAGTAGATCGAATTGATAATGGAAGTCAATAAGGCATAGTCCCAGCGTGCTTTCAGGCATGGATAAGATGATCCATGACGGCACTGGGGAGGTGCTCATTACTAACGATGGTGCTACCATTCTTAAGGAAGTGAGACTAATTAACTCATACCACGCTTCGTTGAGATGTCTGTGATGCATCATCCCACTGCAGCAGAGATGCTTATCGAACTGTCGAACAAGCTGGCAGGGGATGGTAGCGTTGTAGAGATAAATACGACCTCTGTTGTGGTAATTGCTGATGTTGCCCAAAATGTAATACTAGGGTAATTGGCATGGTCTTAGTTATTGGACTGCAGCATACACCCTAATACAAGTAGTGATGGCTTCGTCTCGGCCTCACAGAAAGCTGAGTTCATTCTTGAGGACATGAGCATCTCGATCAGCTTGGATGATAGGGACAGCCTTATTACCAGCATTAGTGAGAATTCTCATACCACACTTCCTTCACATCGTCATAGGGACGTCTCTAAACTCGAAGGTCGTAGCTCAGTCCGCAAGCCTTCTGGCTCCAATGGCTCACCCGGTGGTGGGGACACTCCAGTGCCTTTCGTTGAGTTATGTTAGCCCTCGAGAGGGAGTTCGTAGCTGTTGTTGATGATGATGTCCATCCCTGGTCCTGTTGTGGCCCCCGACGACGATATAATACCGATGATTTGGGAGCCTGGTGATTCACAACTCGGCACTGGAAGAGGAGGAACCCACTCAGTGAAGTACTGGATTGGCATAATCCTTTTTGTGAGGCGTACTCACTCGATTGAGAATAATGTTCATACCACACCTTTGTCAGATCATAGCGTATATCATCCTTATACCAGGGCTCACTATCAACCTATATAGCTACAGTTTCTTCGGTACTGACATCACCAAATCGACTCTTACTACCATCACATTACTCTGGAATGATGGCTACATTGTACCTGCAGTACTCTTGGCCTTCTTCGCGTTAGCGGTAGGAGAAACTCTCATGAGGGCGGCCCTTCGCTGGAGTATGGGGTGTAGGTACCTGCCATAAAGCTGTTATTATGGCGACTGTCGGTTTACTATGAGAGCCCAGTATTAATACACATAGTGCAGTACATCTCCAAGTGGGCTACTACTGATGCGATCGTAGTGGCATTTCTGATGGGCTTCTTGTCGGAAGCAGTGGACGTGGGCCTGATGTGAGTACTCATCTATTTTCGCATATCTCCGCTCAGGGTTTGATTACTACCAAATTGCATCTGGGCTTCCCATGCTTCGTCGGCTACTGCCTAATCTCAACCGCAGCGGCAATGTTGGTCCATGCATCTCCACGAGACCGAGTGGATAACTCGAGGGTGAGCCTGAATGTGCAGGGATTCATCCAACTTTGAGAAATACCGTTACATTGTGTGTGATAACAAGGAGGTGGCATCTACATGGGAAACTGATTGAAGAATGTGTTCCTCACCTTGTGAAAAATTCAAAATGAGTTCGGCCTCCCGCGTACATGTATGGCTATAACCCTTGAATGATCCTACCCAGATAAAGCCAGAGTGGCGTCGTGGCCTTACGTTCGGTATCAACACTATGGCACTGGTCAGCTGGGCTGTCGCATCGCACATTAAGTAGCAACTCTAATGAGATGAATCATCTCCTTGATGGTGTCCTTCAGCTTCTGTGCTTTGGCCATCACACTCAATGGAAAAGATATCGATAAGAGAGACATAAGCCTTTGGAGTGCCATGACTATCCTATATAAGAATCATCCCATAGCATTGCCAGTGCTAGGCGTGTTTGTATGGGCCTTACCAGCCCTAGAGTGAGCCCTACTGATCTACGATGGATCAAGGATCTCGCTGATGACGATTCAGGTCGCTATTGTGGGTAGCAGTATGTGCAGCTCCCTCTCTAGCAGTGAGGGTGTGTGCGGGAGTCACCATGCATATACCTATTGGTCGCTCCTGTTGGGGTCTGGCTAGTTGGCTGAGACAACTAAGATTCTGGCTTATGTGGGATGTTGCTACAGTGAGCATTATTGTTATGAACTCAGCACTGAACTCAACCGATAAGCTCCGATGTGAGATATACTGGCTGCCCTATTCCTTATGGTGGATAGCAACGGTAGTAGTCTTATCATAGTTGACTTGGTAGTATCGTCCATTGCAGGTGCTAATGTACGGTGGGAGGTCAGTGGGAGACGACTACCTTAAATTGGTAATCTCGACGATACAAGGAATGCCCATTCTGGCCGAGCGATGACATGTTACGTTGCCTAGTAGTAGTTGAATTCGGTGAAGTTTAATATGTTATACACATTTGATCGCAGTAAAGTTATTTTCCGGACCCCATCGCGGTTTTCTTGTTACTATTTTTCTCCCGAGGCTAGCCTTTTTTGCTACTATCATGTCGGATATCACGGATGATCTCACAATTGTCAGTGAGTTGGCTACAGCGACTCCCATTCCCGAGAACCAGTCGTCCTCAGAGCTTCTGAACTGCTCTGTGTGCCAGCAACCGGGCCGAAGAACGGTATAGTGCTGTCAACCAGTGCGACGGTTCATTGCAGCACTCAGATCCCCCTGCCCACCTGTGGACACCCTATATGCCACCGATGCCGTCAGCTTGCATTGGAGCCTACTATTCAGTGTGGAGAGTGTGGGCAAGTCTCGGCTGTTCCGGTGGTGGGAGACGATGAGTCCCTGGCTTCTTCGTCGGGATCGGGATCTGATTGGAGGTATCACCCCTGAGGTCCTTGCACGTCACCTTGTACATTGTTCAGTCACGAGCATGCTGATACCAAGAAGAGCAATACACTATTGTGGGTATCAGTGGCAGCTGGGGTGTCAGTCGCCTTTGCTACCTGGGCTATAGCAGCCCATCTTGCTAGGGGTAGGAGGAAAGGAGCCCATCGGAATGTGCTCGAGGGAAAGGCACGCTCGTGGCCGTTCCGGGTAGGTCCGGGTGGATCGTCTTTTGATATATCGCTATTGTTATTGACTACTGATATATACTATGTTGTTTACTATCATGAAGTTGTATATATTATGATTATTGTACATGTAACTCTAAAGTAACTCTGTCATTGCCATAACCAGATACATACATCTCCTACTGTATCAGTGCCTACGATAAGCTACTCGACTCTCGCCTACCACACCCGAGGCCGAGCTGTGATAGCAGCACTTGTTGCCTATTCCCGGTTCGCTAGATTGAGTTGAGCAGCACAATCGTCCTACACTACTCATGTATAACCGTTATTTTGTTATGACCACAAGTTGCGTTGTTTTAGTAATGGATAAATTATGCGAACTAATGATGGTATGAATAGTATTATCAATAAAACTGATACATCAGTATTTATAACCATTTACTGGTTATTCTGGTAGCCAATACGAATAGAGCATTAGATAAATATTGGCCATCAACAGCAGAGAGGGTAACATGCCTGTTGCAAATACGCTATCTGAACACTCGCAGACCTATCTATGACTCATATGATAAAAAGGCTGGGAGAAGGAGCACGCTCCTAGCGCCTCACTGAGTACAGATGCAAGCCTCGGACAGTGTGAAAGTTCAGCCGTGGCTGAGCTAAGTTAGCTCAGCTAACCAGCGTTCACAATTGGATGGAGTCTCGGAACGAGGGACTCACCAGCAGACTTTCTAGCGAAGATATATGTATGTTCGCGGCAGTTTGCTGCCAGTTGCGCTGTAACGGTAACAATCTCACTTGAAATGATTTCGTCTACTGCACGCTAATGGTGAAGAATCGTACGTAGTATCTCAACGGCAATGTGACTGTACAAATT